CCGACAGCCCCAGCACACCTGTACACACACCTATATATACACACACATCAGTGCACAAACCTGTGTGTGTGTATATATACCTATACACACGCACATACTTGTCTCCACACATGTCCGCATAGGGTGCACATCTTATCCAGGGTGTGGAGGCGATTGTTGCATGTCATGGAGGTGACAGGCTGGGCAGGGGAGATTGATCATGGCAGTGTTCTTCACCAATTTTCAGAGGGGGGCCACTTTTGCCGATAAGACATCGTCAGTGTGAGGGCCGCCACACATTTGAAACCTTAGGGGGGTTTGACAGCATCACGACGATGATGATGGGGGATGTTGTCACTCTGTGTGTCTTGTCGGGGGGCCGCACGTCAGAGGCCGCACTAAAGGCCACCGGGGGCCGCCAGTGGCCTGCGGGCCTTGCAATGAAGAACACTGAATTATGGTTAATGGATGATGGACGAGGTGCAATGGGATAGGATGTATGGGCTTCGAAAACAGCGATGGACTGGGTTGACAGCAATGGGCGAGCCTAATAATGGAGTGGCGAGAGCTGATGTAGCAGTGGTGGGCTCAATGGAATGGGCAGAGATACATAACATTTGAGGAAGGCCCAGGATGGGTATACTTTGGTGGGGGGGGTCCTCTTTGTATATTTAATTCCTTCCCTTGACCATTTCACCACCACCCTTGCCCAATGAAGCCAAATGATCGATTGTTTGGCAATTTCAGCTCTTGTCTTTTTTTTAAACGCGATGCAAGATTTAAAGGCTCAATCAAAGTTAAAAAGAACTATTTTAATTTCGGTACAAGGCTGCTAGTAATACACACAGCGATGCGATGGCTTTTACTCCCAAACTACCCGCAGGACGTGTCATAGTGCTCCAGTATTGCGTTGTAACCATGATAAATTAATACACATTTCACAATAAAGGGGGACTTATCATTCCTAGGACCCAGGCTGCAGCACGTTCAGCCCCTGCGTTAATCGAGCCCAGGTGATGGGTTGGGGTTGATGGTCTAGGATGTATGGGCTAGGGTTGATGGGCTAGGATTGATGGACAAGTGTGTTTAGGCTGGGGTATAATGGGCTGTGCAAGCAGGAGGGTGCGGGCTGAGGTGTGTCAGAAGCGAAACTCCCACGGCCCCGTTTCAACCACCACGACTGGAAAGCAGCGTTATCGCTTCACCACCCTGCCACCCATTTAATAAAGGGTAGTATTTTTGTTATATATATTGTCCCCATATTAAAATGACAATATCAATAAAGTTCTATATATTTATTATTTATAATTGATATTTGGGTTAGGCCACGTAACAATCCGGTTACATTTCTGCTGTAAGACCCACCCACCCAACAGTGAAATTGTCACGCGTATGAGCGTTTAACGACACGCCAATTATAATTGTTTTGCTCACCGGTGAAGTTAGTGAGCAATTATCACAACCAGATTCAGCGATTAGATATGCCGCGACGTTCCGTTCGAAACGTACCGCTTGAAACGGCGAAGAGCATCATCAGGACAAGGTCCATGAAGTCAAAGTAACATCCAGGAAGTCTAATGGATAAATGTTGATTGCGGGAATCGTTCTCCAACTTTATCCGTTGAGTGAGCTGAAAACAACTGGCATCGTCAAACGCGTGTATGCAACAACCGATTTTGTTTGGCTGCGTCAAGCAGTAGAGGGTCTTGCGACACATTTTACGGAGCCTGAACCAAAACGCAATTATGAATCGAAATACTGACTGCGCACAGCTCCGTGCTTAGTTGTATTTTTCGTCGTAACTTATTTTACATTACATTTTTTTATATATATTGTGGACCTGCGTACCACACGGGCAGGCCAACAACCAATTCCAGCCGTGGCCGGACTAAAACCCTGACCCTTGCATGAAGCCACGGAGAATGGCGAGGACGAGGAGGTGTGGGATGGAGCGAGAGGAAGCGAGTCTATATAGCGTGGGGATGAGGACCCAGGCCCTGGGCCAATACTGGGCCACAGACAACAGTTCCCAATGGTCATGGACATGACGTACCGTACACCCTTTTCCACTGCCAAATCTGAGCAGAGCCAGCGCGGGGCCCGTTATGGTATGGGTGGTTTTCCAGCGGCTATTTGCCGTGCCGAGCCAGAAACCAAACAGTGCTACTGCTGGCCTCGCAAGAAAACGTCTGAATCTGGCTGGGGGCCAAGCAGGGCCAGGGAAGACGAGGCGCTAATGACGCGTTCATTGCATCTCACGTCATAACACCCGAACAGTCAACAGCAAGGCGTCTAAGCGAGTTGGGAGGCGTGCGATTGTGAGCGAGTGAATGAGTGCAACCGTGAGTGTGCGAGTCAACTCAAACACAGTGTGACCGCGTCCATCGTGGGTCCCCGACTTCACACGCAGTGCTCGGCAAGGGCGGGGGAAGTGCGGTTGCAAACGTCGTGGTCCGTGGCTGGTGGTGCCTGGGGGGGGGGGGCCCGGCCCCAATCCTCGGCTATTGCTGCTGCCACCGCTAGGCTTTGCTAAACCGCGTGAGCTCCTGGCGCACGGCTGGGGAAGGAGGGGAGGGGTGAAGGGGGGCAGGGAGAGGGACAGAGGAGGGAGATAGGTCAGGGTCTACTCAGGCGCTCTCCGATCCCTTGCCTATTGTCAGTGAAGAACACTAACGGGCGATGGCGCTTAACGAGCCGGGACGTGAATGATGCCACCAGGGGGGAGACTGGGCCATGCGAGTCCCGGTGTCGCCTGGGCCGTGCAATTGTGGCCCCGGGCACGGAGACGTGACTGCTACGGACACGGCGGCCGTGTGCACAGGGAGGGGGGGTGGGGAATGGAGACACGGAGCGAGAGACTGCGAGACAAAGACGTGGAGAGATACACGGAGAGTGGAGACACGGAGAGTGGAGACACGGAGAGGGAGACACGGAGAGGGAGACAGAGACACCGAGAGACGGTGAACAAGAGATCTAGAGAAAGTAAAATGGAGAGGAAACAGACGGAGACACAAAGACACAGAAATACACAGAGATGCAGAGAAATGGGGATGCGCAGAGACACGGCACAAGGTTGCAGGCACCTGAAGAAATGGGGGGCCCTGTGCACAGGAGCCCTCCAACATTAGAGACCCCCCCCCCCTCTACCAACATCCCCCTCACCCCCCATCCCCCCCCCGGGTCTCACCGGCCAGGATCTCCTCCTTCACCTTGTGCAGCTCCTGCCGCACGCCGGCCAGGATCTCCTAGGGCACCGCGCGCACCACACAGCCACCGTCACGACGCCCGTCCGCTCCGCGAGCACCCACTATCGGCGCCATGAACACCAAGAGGGTGGCGGCGCGGTGGTAACACCTGTGCCTCACAGCAAGAAGGGCCTGGGTTCAATTCCCCGACTAGGGAATTTGTATGTTCCCCAACTTTCCTCTCGAAGGTAAACCCACCACGAAATGTGACCGTGTTGGCCAAACGTCCCAAGTGCTGAAACTTGACCTGCCAATTTATTCGATTGGGACTTCCCACACAGCAACAGCATTGCTCTCGAGTGCAAGTACATGGCAGGGCTCTCCTGAAATAGTCTTGAGTCTCACAGTTAGGATGTTCTGGGTGAGCACGTGGAATAATAATGATAATTAACTGATGTTTCATTTGGTTTTGATATCATCCTCAAATTGTCCCGATCTGACCTGGACTAACCCTCCAGTATTATATCGCTCAATCTGTCGCCGTAGCACTTGCAAGCTCTGCTTCAGGCGGTGTCCTGCTACATCAGGCTGTTGAGCCACAAATTCTATAACCAACGAGCTTGGCTTCGCGTGGGAGGAACCCAGAGCAAACCTAGACACGAACGCTCCACGCTCCGTACAGATAGATTCAATAATCCATCTGCCTTACCGACATCGGGACACATTGCAGCTCGGCGGTAGGCTTTCGGAGTTTCACAAATCTCTCACCTGATCCACCAACCCCTGCCTCAAAATAGCACCACCACACAGAGGCCCCAAAACCTGGAGGCCGCAGACCCAGAGGCCTTGGCGGGCCCCATGTGTGTGTGGAGTCGGTGCTCGGAACCCTTTTTTCTTATTTTTTTGCGACAAAACCTGAGGCCGGTACAATACGCCGATGAACATTGGAGGACGGGGGGGAGGGAGGGGGGACAGAAAGTGCGCAAAAACTCAAATTCGCTGCAACGAGACCGAATGTAAGTGGTGGGGGTGGGAGGTCGGGGGGGTGGGGGGCACGAACCTCTTTGAGGTTCTGCGAGGGGCCGCCATCCGGCACAGCGTGCAGCGTCAGAGACCCGACACACGACTTGGTCCTGGTGGTGGAGAGAGGTGGGAGGGGGTGGGGGGGCCAGTGGACAGTGAGGGGGGCGAGGGAGGGGGGGAAGCCACAGGGTCATTTGGTGGCTTAGGGCCCAGGCCAGTCCCCCCCCCCCACCCCACTAGTGCTGTCCCTGCATCCGCACCTGCTCAGGCTGCGCAAGGAGTTGAGCGCAGCGTCCGGCTGCTTCTTCTCGGCCCCGCGGCTCATCTCCAGCCTGCAGAGACGGAGGAGGAGGAGGAGCGGGCAGGTGTTGGAGAGACATGTGGACGCACTTTGCAGGCGAATGGACAGACAGCCTGATGCACGGACGGACCACCGGTGGACGGACCGACGAACAGACGTGGAGAGGCATACGGACAGATGGAGAGGGAGACAGATTACGAGACGTAGGCACCTGCTCAGGCTGCTGGAGGTATTGAGGGAGGGACCGGGTTCCTTCCCCGTGGCCTCACGGCCCATCTCCAGCCTGACGGGGACACGGGGACAGGGGACGGACACAACGCACGCGTGGACGGATGGACGGACGTGTGGACAGATGATCGCACAGATAAACAGTAAAATGGACGGAGAAATGAATCGACATACACAGGAACAGACAAAGCAATGGACGGATATACATGACTGATGGACGGCGAATCAACCGACAGATGGACGAACAGTTGGATGGAGATGACGCATGACGATGGGGAGGGGAGGAGAAGGTGGACATGAAGGGACGCACTTGGACTGCGATCGACTGAGCGGCTTCCCGCTGGCCCAAGGCGCCTTCTTGGGGCTCTCTGCGGGCAGACACGGGGAGAGAGAGAGAGAGAGAGTAGTACACGGGGAGAGGGAGCGGTACACGGGAAGAGGGAGCGGTACACCGCCAGCAACAGGCGCCCAACGAGAGCCCACACACTCACCAACAACACCACTCAACAAGCACTCGGTTCACACACGTCACATACACACACAACAATACCCAATACACACCCCCTTGTTGCCAGGTTGAAAACATTTGCGCCCCTCTAGTGCTCGATTAGTGCTGCTAAGGTGCTACTTGCAGTGACTGATAAGCATCGTCTATGGGCCATTTCTAAGCGGTAGGCCTCATGTGGCAGGATCCCCCGCCCCTGGTGATCTGGAAGGGTCTAGAGCTGAGATGATGCGGTCGCTATGGTGACACACCGAGAGGCCTCGTGTCTTTCTTGGGACCAGCGATCGCAGCCGGAGCCTCCTCCTACAAAGAGAGACCCACCACCACAGTGACACATCATCACACAATCATTGGCACACCATCACAGTCACACACCATCATACCATCAGTGGTACACCATCCCACCATCACAGGTAAACCTGGAGACACTCACGGGTCCCGGTGCTGGGTTTGGGGTCCCTGGGGTCCCTGGGGTCCCGGGGGTCCCCGTCGCTGCCGAGAGAACCCCCTGAGAGGTCTTTTTCCTGCGGGGACACACGGTGGGGGGGGGGGGGGGGTTGCCAATGATGTGTAGAGGCAGGAAGGCTGCGATCGTCATTATTGTCGTGCAAGCCGCATGCCGCATGACGATGGTGTTGACGATCGTGATGACGTCGACAGCAGCGACGGTCGTCAGGATGATGGTTGTGATCATGGTGAAGGAGGCAGAAGTGATGGCGACGTGAGTGATGGTGATCGTGATGGTAGTGGTGGCGGGGATGATGATGGTGAATCATGGTGATTATTAATGATGATGTTGACGAGGGACCCCACCTCCGGGCCAGCATGGCACTCATCTCATCCATTAGGCCCCCCCCAGAGCCTCCTCCTCCTCCTGGGGGACCCCGGCTGCCCCCTCCTCCTCCAGGCCCCGACTCCTCAGTCTTGGGGGGGGGGGGGGGGGTGCCCAGGGGAGGGGAGTGGAGAGGGGGGGGAGCGGGGGTTAAAGGTGTAGTCCACCTGTCCATACCCAAGGAGCCCTTCACAAGCTCGAGTCGAGGGTTTGGACATGGACTGAGAGCCATCGACGTATCGAACGCTCGATGTGTTTGATGAAATCATCGACGTTCACCAAAAGGTCTCAATGAACATGCCATTATTTACGGCAAATATCAATGTCTCTAATTCAAACGCAATGTTTGTTTATTGAATAAAACAATCCGCAAGAATCGGTCCGTTCCAGACGTGTCCACGTTTGCTGCCCAATCCCTCCGCGTGGACGCCGGCTCCCGGGCGGCCCAGTCCCACAAGCGGTGTGGGGCCCTGGGGGCCCTCCCGAGCTTGCCCTGGGGGAGACGCCCTGGGAGAGGCGCTGGGGGGATGCGTGGACCCCTTTCTCACAGGCCAACCCCCAGACACATTTCTCAAGTCGGCCTAGGCCCACTGCGGGCCGACCGAAGTTCAACGCAGCAACAACGGCCGCGGGAACTCGGCACAAACCAATTTCTACCGCCCGAAACACAGACGCCAACACCCGCACTGTCCGGGGCAAACCCAGAGGCAGGTGGCAGCAACCCTCACCCCGGCCGCCCACGGACTCTTCTGGGACTCGTTGGGCCTTGGTTGCTTTGTCCGCCCCCTGCCCCCCCGACTCCGCCAACTCCCAACCTCCTCGTCCTCCACTTCCGCTTTTCTTCTCCCCGCACTCCCCCCCCCCCACCCCCAATGCCACTCACTCGCATGATGCGGTTGCGTTTTGACGCTTTTTATATATTTCCTGGGTCGTTGACCCGGGCAAGTGGCGGCTAAATTAAGCGTTGCTTCGTGTCCCTGCCTTACAGTGTTCGTGGCGTTGTTGTTGGAGTATGTTATCGGTGCTGTGTTGTTGTTGTGTTTATGTTGTTGTTTCTTGTTGCAGTGTTCTTGCTGTCGATTGCGTTATGGTTGTTGCGATTGCGTTGCTGTTGGTTACCGGCTGGACTTTCTTGAGTTGGACCCCTGTGATCGAGGCCCCGAACGCAGGGGGCCTTGGGGCCGCGCTTCCTCCTGCGGGGGGCGGCGGTGGGGGAGGGGGCGGGGGTGGCGGGGCCCCCCCCCCAGCCTGGGCCCCCCCAGGCTGGGCCCCCCCAGGCTGGGCACCCTGGGGTCCCGTTCCACACACGGGGGCCGCAGTGTGGGCCAAAGTGGAGGCCCCGTTTCGTCCTGAAGTGGGAACAAACAGGGGTCCCGTGAACCCCCTCCGATCCCTCCCTCGAGTCCCCCTACCCTGCCCCGCCCCCACCCCCTCCCCTTTAGGTCCCCCCGTCACTGAAACCTAAACACGGACGGTGAGACTGATGAGGGGACACTGCAACGAGGTTGAGGACGAGGAGAGGGATGATGGGGAGGGAAAATGAGAGATGGGGGCGAACGTCATGAACGAGCGAGATGAGAAGAAGTGATGATGAGGTGAGGAGGGATTAGCAAAGAGGAGAGATGGTGAGAAAAGAGGGGAGATGGGAAGTAGACAGATGAGAGAATAGAGATGAGGTGAAATTATCGGGAGGGAATATGTGAGACAGGAAATGAGAGATGAGGTAAGGGAGGGGAAAGTGAGATGAGTGAAGGGGACAGGTGGAGAAGGTAGTGACGTGGAGGGAAATGGTGAGAGGTAAGACAAGGAGAGATGTCAACGGGAATGGAGAAGAGAAGGTGGTCCCCGTGAGGAGGTGTTACCGTGGAAACTCTTGTCCAGGTCCTGGTACGAGTCTAGGGACTCGTACAAGCTGAGATGCAGACACATGGAGACAGACAGACACACACACACACACACAAAGATTCCCATAGAGCCTATTAAGGCCGGTATGGAACACAAGGGTGGCCAGCACAACGCCCAACCACCTTTGGTCGCTTCTCTACCCTCCTGTTGGAGCGCAACTTCCTCCAAATGCCCGGAAGCATCCTTCACAAGCCTCCTCCACAAAGGCCGATCTTGACATCGCTGGTTCCCATCATCGGCAAGTACAATTAGCTCACATCCTTCTGTACCGCATCAGTTCATCTCTTCTCTAGCCCGTGCCGTACCCATTTAGTTCCCCTAACCGGCCAAACAGAAGCTGCTTGCACTTGGGATGTCTGCACATGCGGGCTACATGACGCAGCCAACACAGCCTCGCCTGCTGGAGGAGCTTCCACAGACAAAAAAAATACAAAGATCCCCCGTGACTTTAGCGAAAGACCCAAAGAATATTAACCAGACTGTTGGGACAAGTGCTGTTAGCGAGCACCTATGAAGGCCGGCACACGGGGGGGGGGGGGGGGGTGGCCAGAACAACACCCAGCCACCTTTGTCTCCCTAGTGGCGATGACCGAGTCGACATAGGGGAGGCCCAGGACCGGTTCAGATAATCGTCACTGGTGTTGGCCTTGAGCAGAAATCGAACCCGGGCCGCCGGGTTTGTAGCGCAACGCGCTAACCGCTGCACTACACAGACACGCACACACTCATTGCACACTCACCACCATTGCCATCATAGTGCAGCAATAGGAACCATTCAGAAGAGTGCTGCTCGGCAAGTTTGGTGCACTGAGAAGTGCCGGTATGGCAGAACGACACATTAATGACGTCATACTTATCCACCAGGTACAATGACAAAGATCCCCCTGATAGCTTTAACAGACTGTGGGGGAAAGTGCTGTTAGCGAGAGCCTATTAAGGCCGGAATGGTACACGAGGGGGTGAGTGACCAACAGCACGTCAGGCCGCCTTTGTCTCCCTGGTGACGATGTTTACACACCACACCAGGCATTCGATTATCTGAATCGGGCCAGGACCGATTCAGGTAATAGTCACCGGTGTTGGCCGTGAGCGGGAATCGAACTCGGGTCGCCGGGTTCGTAGTGCAGCACGCTCACCCGCTACACTACCGCTCCACATACACACATACACACACACGTACACATACATACATACACACACGTACATACACACACACGTACATACATACACACACGTACATACATACACACACATACATACATTCACACGTACGCACCTGTCGCCGCCCGACTCGGCCTCATCACGATCCGGGCTTTGTGGAGGTCTTCCTCCTGAGATGATCACGCACACACACACACGTGTACACCAGTCCACACGCGCGTGTACAGACAAAGATCCCCCGTATAGTCTACACAAGCTGTTGGGGCAAGTGCTGTTGTTAACCAGCACCTATGAAGGCTGGCACGGCGCACGAGGTGGTTGGTGTGACCAGCAACACGCCCTATCGGCTTTGTTTAGACACCGGACCAGGCATTCATTTAAGGCTGAGCTGATGTGGGCGGGGCCTAGGACTGGTTGAGAAGTCACTCGCTAATGATCTTGGCCGTGGCGGGGAATCTAACTTGGGTGGCTGCGTTCGTTCTTTGTGGTGCAGTCTGCCGACTACCGCACCGCAGGTCCCATATACACACAGTGTCACACACGCAACGTGTCACACAAAGATCCCCCGTATAGCCTTAACAGAATGTAGGGGCAAGTGCTGCTAGCGAGCACCTATGAAGGCCTGGAACGGTACACGAGGGGGTGGGTGGCCAGCACCACGCCCGACCGCCTTTGTCTCCCCAGTGGCGATGTTTACACACCACACCAGGTACTCATTTAAGGCTGAGTCGACCTAGGGGAGGCCCAGGACCGGTTCAGATAATCGTCACTGGTGTTAGCCGTGAGCGAGAATCGAACCCGGGTCGCCAGGTTCATAGCGCAGCGCGCTAACCGCTACACTACACGCACAGTGTCACACACGCACAGTATCACACACGCATGCACCGAGCACGCGCGGGTACTACAACCCGCGCAGCTACTGCAGATTTCCTCCCATCACCACAGACCGGAATCCCGCTTCCCCTACACCCACGTGCGTTTAACTACACAAACATACGCCGGTACAACTGCGTACACACATACACACGTGCACACGTGTGTACACACACAACTGCCATTCGCCACTTAGTGACAGTGACGGTACCACACCGCTTGTGCCAGGCTAGGTGCACTTTGGGGCCATCACATGAAGTGTGGAAGGCTCGCTGCTGTCAGGGGGTCACGGGACAGACCCAGGTGCCATGGGTTGACTGAGATGACTATATCCCCTACTGTGCCAACTTGCTGCATTTTATCCACCCGTTACGCCGCTCGTTGTTGCGAGGGTCACTTTTTTGCCCTCTGTTATTGTTGGAGGGCGATTGCCTCCAACTGCCCAATAGCATCCTTCATGAGTCTCCTCCTTGCACCACTGGGACCAGTTTTTAGCAAGTCCACTCAGCCAAACATCCTTCTGTACCACATCATCCCATCTCTTCTCTAGCCTGTGCCGTACACATTTAGTCACCACCAAACCGACGCAGATGTTCCATTTGAAGGGTCCACGTTTTGCAAGCATAGAGGAGGGCACAAAACTATGGCTGAGTAGATTTAAACCTTTGTTTGGAGCGACAGACCAGGAAGCTTCCACACAACGTTGCACAGCTGACGAAGAGATAACGCCGCTTGACCGATTCGGATATAACATACAAAGACAAAGATCCTCCACAGATAATTGGTTCTTTACCCTTCTATCTGGCAACAAAACTGACACCTTTTTGCAAGGAGTCATGTTTGCATAGACCGCAATACCTGCAGTCATAAATACAAACAAAAGACATAACTCTGATAATGTGCACTGTCCTTGAAGTTGATTGGTCCACACCCGAGACAGCTTTCCTTCGAGCCTAGTCTCATATGGGTTGGACCAGATGACGCCAAAAGGCGCACAACTCAAGGACAATGCACCATCAGAGTATGAGAGCTCGGGGCAAGCATCTACACTATGGGGACCTCATTTGCCAGTAAAAATATGATAATTGGTTCTTTACCCTTCTATCTGGCAACAAAACTGACACCTTTTTGCAAGGAGTCATGTTTGCATAGACCGCAATACCTGCAGTCATAAATACAAACAAAAGACATAACTCTGATAATGTGCACTGTCCTTGAAGTTGATTGGTCCACACCCGAGACAGCTTTCCTTCGAGCCTAGTCTCATATGGGTTGGACCAGATGACGCCAAAAGGCGCACAACTCAAGGACAATGCACCATCAGAGTATGAGAGCTCGGGGCAAGCATCTACACAATGGGGACCTCATTTGCCAGTAAAAATATAATTGGTTCTTTACCCTTCTATCTGGCAACAAAACTGACACCTTTTTGCAAGATAGAAGGGTAAAGAACCAATTATCATATTTTTACTGGCAAATGAGGTCCCAATAGTGTAGATGCTTGCCCCGAGCTCTCATACTCTGATGGTGCATTGTCCTTGAGTTGTGCGCCTTTTGGCGTCATCTGGTCCAACCCATATGAGACTAGGCTCGAAGGAAAGCTGTCTCGGGTGTGGACCAATCAACTTCAAGGACAGTGCACATTATCAGAGTTATGTCTTTTGTTTGTATTTATGACTGCAGGTATTGCGGTCTATGCAAACATGACTCCTTGCAAAAAGGTGTCAGTTTTGTTGCCAGATAGAAGGGTAAAGAACCAATTATCATATTTTTACTGGCAAATGAGGTCCCCATAGTGTAGATGCTTGCCCCGAGCTCTCATACTCTGATGGTGCATTGTCCTTGAGTTGTGCGCCTTTTGGCGTCATCTGGTCCAACCCATATGAGACTAGGCTTGAAGGAAAGCTGTCTCGGGTGTGGACCAATCAACTTCAAGGACAGTGCACATTATCAGAGTTATGTCTTTTGTTTGTATTTATGACTGCAGGTATTGCGGTCTATGCAAACATGACTCCTTGCAAAAAGGTGTCAGTTTTGTTGCCAGATAGAAGGGTAAAGAACCAATTATCATATTTTTACTGGCAAATGAGGTCCCCATAGTGTAGATCCTCCACAGAGTTGAATCTTGGGGCAAGTTCTGTTAGCGAGCACCTATCAAGACCGGCACAGCATATGAGGGGGGTGGTGGCCACACACACACACACACACGTTCACACACGGACTTGTACAACCAGGGCTTAAAAACTAAACTTTTTCCGAGTCGCTGGTAAACTGCAGTAGCAGTCGTAGCCACAGCTCATAGCGAGAGAGAGGAAGACTGGATGTGGTTTGTGCGGGGCTGGAAATATTTTCCAGGTTGATGACCCGGTCATTGCTAACTGAACTTCAGTTCTGGAAACAACGACATTCACACACACATGCACAAGATAAAGACAACGATCCACCGTATAGCCTTAACAGATTGTAGGGGCAAGTACTGTTAGCGAACACCTATGAAGGCCGGAATGGTACAAGAGGGGGTGGGGGGCCAGCACCACGCCTGGCCGCCTTCGCCTCCCTAGTGGTGATGTTTACACACTAGGGAAGGCCCAGGACCGGTTCAGACAATCATCACTGGTGTTGACCGTGAGCGGGAATCGAACCTGGGTCCCCGGGTTCGTGGCTCCGCATGCTTACCGCTTCGGCAACGCTCCACACCGTACAAGGGCACACGCAGAAACACACACACAGACACATACACACACATACACACACACACACAGACACACACAGACACACACACACACAGACACACACAGACACACAGAGACACACACACAGAGACACACACACAGAGACGCACACACAGAGACGCACACACAGAGACGCACACACACAGACACACACACAGACACACACACAGACACACACACACACACAGACACACACACAGACACACACACAGAGACACACACACAGAGACACACACACAGAGACACACACACAGACACACACACAGACACACACACAGACACACACACGTGGCTACACGTGCCACCCCTCCTCCAAATGCAATGTACGTGGTGACCCCCCCCCCCCCATTTTGATCAATCCTGAAGACTCAACACTTCCCAAGTGTCACCCCTGATCCTATGACCCAGTAAACAGTGGGAGAGGGAGCACAACAGGTGGGGGGGGGGGGGGCACATAGCTTCACCTGTGACACACACCTGTCGTGCATCACACCCTGTGTACAGGTGCCCCCCCCCACGTGCTTCTGTACTGGTCACACCCCATGCACCCCCAAACGCACACACACACGTACAACTACAGACACAGACACACACACGTACAACTACAGACACACACACACGTACAACTACAGACACAGACACACACACACACACGTACAACTACAGACACAGACACACACACACGTACAACTACAGACACACACACACACGTACAACTACAGACACACGCACACACACGTACAACTACAGACACACACACACGTACAATTACAGACACACACACACACGTACAACTACAGACACACACACACACACACGTACAACTACAGACACACACACACACACACGTACAACTACAGACACAGACACACACACACGTACAACTACAGATACAGAGACACACACACACACACAGGTGCCTCCAGGCCACCCTCCCTCCTATCACGAGGCCCCCCCCCCCCCGTACCTCCCGCGCCCCCCACCGAGAGCGCCTCGGCCCCCCACGTCATGGCGTTGATGAAGAGGTTGGCGTCGTCCTCGCTCGTGAAGCTCAGGCCGAACACGCGGCCCTCGCTGCGCCACTGCAGGAAGGTGGGGGTGGCGCGGTGGAAGCGCGTGCCCTGCGTCAGGTGGCACTCCAGCACCGTCTGCGGGACGGGGGGGCACGGGGTAAGGGGGGGCACGGGGTAAGGGGGGGCACGGGGTGAGGCGGAGGGGGCACAGGGTGAGTGGGGGGCAGCGGCGAGGGCAGGGTGGTGAGGTGTGTGTGAGTGTGTTCTCCTATAACAGACATCTCGTCACTGCGATGCTGGACGGGAACCTCGTCAGGCAGCGTGGGCGATTGTTTTTTTGTTTATCGCACTTCACCACGCCGCTCAGAGCTAGGGCTGGCGAGTGCAGTGCAGCAGAGCGCTGCACTATTTCCCTGCACCGCCCTTGCTGACGACGTAGCTAGCGCAGCGCTTGGACATCGGCTCGAGGTGCGGCGGTCGCTGTCCAAGCTCAAAACTGGCTCAGCTGCCGAGATCTGTCGAGATCGGGTGGATTCCGCGTAACTTGGTCACAAGAGGGGGGCACGCGGAGGAATAATAATAATAATCACCACAGTCACAGGACTGTGATAGCGGCCGCTTGTTTACACGGGGAAGTCCTAGCCAGTCGGAGAGGCAGCAGAGTGCGTGCAGGGGATTAGAGTGCGGTCAGAGTGGTGAGGTGGGAGAGTGCGTGGAGGGGATCAGAGTGAGGTGAGAGGGGAGTGTTAGGCAGGAGTGAGTCCATGGAGGATTTTGAATAAAGTGAGTGCAATCTTCACATTTATCTGAGATTGTATTGGGTCGGGGTGATGTGGTCTTGGACCGCGGGCTTCCTGAGCACTGCAATTGAGGTTCACTGCTCTAAATAAACAACAGCCACTAAGTGGCGGCGACGTCCCCACGACGCTTGTGCCAGGCCATGTGCACCTTGAGGCCACGTGAAGTGTAGAACGGGGCAGACTCAGGTGCCACGGGTCGACTGACTGAGATGACCGAGATGACAGGCTGATGCACCACCTGTGCCCCCTACTGTGCCAATTTGCTGTGCTTTAGCCACCCGGCGCTCCGCTCGCTGTTGTGAGCGTCGCTCCTCCACACTCCATTGTTGTTGGAGGGCGACTGCCTCCAACTGCCCAGTAGCATCCTTCACGAAACTCCTCCACAGAGGCCGATCTTGACACCGCTGGTACCAGTCATCGGCAAGTCCACATTCTCCTGAACCACATCACTCCAGCTCTTCTCAAGCCCGTGCCGCGCCAGTTTAACCCCCTCGATCCAGCCGAACAAAAGCTGTTTAGGAATGCGGCGACTGGGCACGTGGGCTACATGACCCAGCCAACGCAGCCTTGCCTGCCGGAGGAGCTCACCGATGGGACTTTGCCCAGATCTTTCAAGGATTTGTGAGCTCCTCACACAATCCAGCCTGGTTAAACCCAGGATGGATCGTAGGCAGGCCAGCCTAAATGTTTCTAACCGGCGAAGATACTCCATTAGGGGGGGTCCACGTTTCGCAAGCGTACAGAAGGGAGGGGATGACTTTGGCCGAGAAGACCTGAAGCTTCGTGCGGAGCGACAGACCAAGTAGCTTCCACACAGCGTTACGCAACCGATGAAAAGATATTGCCGTTCGACTAATTCGGAGTGAGACCTCTGCTGTTAAACTGGAGCCGGTCATAAGCACACTGCCCAGGTATGGGAAACTCTCCACTCTCTCCACAACTGCCCCATTACCGATTTGGAGTTGTGTGGGTGGAGTGTCCGATGGTACAAAATACCCAGGCAGGTGCTTAGTTTTGGTGGGGTTGATGGTAAGGCCCCACCTCTTAGTGGCTCACTCCAGTTTCAGCAGAAGCATCTCTAACTCCTCCTCTGAATGAGCAGAAATTACCAAACCATCGGCATACATAACGTGGTTGACCAATAGAGAGCCATCCCTTGACTGCACCCGGGCATCGATCAACCTCCCATTATATCTGTACCAAATGGAAATTCCTCCAGGTACAGCTATTGAAGGCTTCAAAAACTACGTGATCAAAATAGATGTTAAATAATGTGGGAGCCAGAGGACATCCCTGTCACACCCCAAGGTGTACAGGGAATGGCTCTGACTTCCGGCCACGTAGTTTTACCCGGGCCCACTCACCATCATGAAGGTCCTTAATGATCGTGAGCAGAGGGTCAGAGACTCCGAAAGCACGAAGAACAACCCAGAGCCCAGGCCTACTGATGGTATCATAGGCCTTGACCAGGTCAATAAAGCAGAGATGTAGGTCTTGTTGGAATTCCCTACACCTCTGCTCTAGCAGCCGGACAGAAAAATACGGCATCTATGCAGGACCGCCCTTTCCTGAAACCACACCTACCCACACCTACACACACACACACCTGCTGGTCGTATACACGCTGCCCCCACACGCGGATGGAGGTGCGCTCTTGGAGGAGGTGGATGAATGCGGGACCGGATTCCCCCGCTCCCCCACCAGCACACGGAACCCAGCGGCGACTCGAGTCATCGTAGCACATTGGGGCAGCGACCACCACCGCGAGCTCACTGTGGACATCGGCACGGAGACATCAACATAGAGACGTCGATATTAACACATCAACACGGAGACATCAACACGAAGACATCGACACGGAGACATCCAGACATACACACGGAGACATCAACACAATAACACATCGACACGGAGACATCAACACGTCAACACGGAGACATCAACACATCAACACGGAGACATCAACATAGAGACGTCGATATTAACACATCAACATGGAGACATCAACACATCAACACGGAGGCATCCAGACATCAACACGGAGACATCAACACAATAACACAACAACACGGAGACATCAACACATCGACACAATAACACATCAACACGGAGGCATCAACACAATAACACAACAACACGGAGACATCAACACATCGACACAATAACACATCAACACGGAGGCATCAACACAATAACACAACAACACGGAGACATCAACACATCGACACGGAGACATCGACATGAAGACATCAACACGGAGACACGGGGATTCTGATGAACGCATACAAAGACTCGTGGAGACGGAGACGTGGAACACGGAGACCAGAAAACACGGAGACGTGGGGAGTGGGAGACGTGGGGACACAGGGGACACGGAGACGTGGAACACGGAGACCAGGGGACACGGAGACGTAGGGAGTGGGAGACGTGGGGACACAGGGGACACGGAGACGTGGAACACGGAGACGTGGAGACACAGGGGACACGGAGACGTGGAACACGGAGACCAGGGGACACGGAGACGTGGGGACACGGGGGACACGGAGACGTGGAACACGGAGACGTGGAGACACAGGGGACACGGAGACGTGGAACACGGAGACCAGGGGACACGGAGACGTGGGGACACAGGGGACACGGAGACGTGGGAGACGTGGGGAGTGGGAGACGTAGGGACACGTAGGGAGACACCCTGGCCGGTGGTGGTGGGGGGGGGGGTCAGTGGGGTCACTCACCTGCTGGTCTCCGCAGGTCCCGCGGGTCCCGCGGGGACCGTGGGAAGCAGTCTCCTGCTGCTCATGGGGCCGGAGCTGGGAGAGAACACAGGCGCAGCGCTCGGGACCGCGTGTGTGTGCGTGTGTTGTATGAGTGTTGGTGTGTGTGTGTGGTATGAGTGTTGGTGTGTATGTATTGGTGTGTGTGTGTTCCACAGTGCGTGTTGAGCTATGGGAGGTCAGACCACATCCGGTCGGCTCTCTCACACACGCAGACAAATATGCATACACATCAACAATTGTACAACACAGACACACAAACACATCAACACTTGTACACACACACATACACATCAACACTTGTACAACACACACATACACATCAACACTTGTACAACACACACATACACATCAACAATTGTACAACACACCGACACAAACACACATCAACACTTGTACAACACACCGACACAAATACACATCAACACTTGTACAACACACACAGACACACAAACACACATCATCAACACTTGTACAACACACCGACACAAATACACATCAACACTTGTACAACACACACACACAGACACACAAATACACATCAACACTTGTACAACACACACACAGACACACAAACACACATCATCAACACTTGTACAACACACAGACACACAAATACACATCAATACTTGCACACACACAAATACATACACATTAACACTTGTACAACACAGACGCAAAAATACATACACATTAACACTTATAAACACAAATACATTCACATTAACACTTGTACAAGATAGACACAAATACATAAACACGTGTACAACTAAAAAGATGAAGATCCCCTGTATAGCCTAAACAGACTGTAGGGGCAAGTTCTGTTAGCGAGCACCTATGAAGGCCGGAACGGCACACGAGGGGGTGGGTGACCAGCACCACGCCCGGCCACCTTTGTCTCCCCAGTGGCCATGTTTACACATCGTACCGGGTACTCATTTGAGGCGGAGTCAACCTCGGGGAGGCCCAGAACCGATTCAGATAGCCACTGATGTTGGCCGTGAGCGGGTAACTCGGGTCGCCGGGTTCGTAACGAAACGCGCTAACCGTTGCACCACCGCTCCCCCTTCTCTTTCGCACGACACACACACACGACACACACTCACGACACACACACGCACCCACGACATACACACGCACCCACGACATACACACGCACCCACGACATACACACGCACCCACGACATACACACACACACACGCACCCACGACATACACACACACACGCACCCACGACATACACACACACCCACGACATACACACACACACGCACGTGTTCGCGAAAGGGCGGATACGCACGGTGGGTTTATCCCTTAGTAAAGGGGACCTGGATAAGTGGTGTGGTGGGGGGGAGCTGTCAGGATGGGTAAGGGGTCGGGGGCTGGTAGTGAACCCGAGTTGGGGTCTTTGTGAAAGCACACGCAAGGCTGGTGGAACTTTTTGGTTGGGATCACCACAAACCACACTCGGCACCACCGTCAGCACCATCACTTGCGACCGGGGCATCCATTCAGATTTCGGGAAAATCTTCCACGAACAAGATCACCATCATTACAAACATCACCATCACTGTAATCCTCATTACCACCACAATTATTATCACAACCATCACGGATAAAACACTGCGACTACCAGCGTGACAATCAACACCACCCCCTCGACAGCCATCACCCTCCTCAAGCCACCACCATCACCACCACTCTCTCTCTCCCTCACACCACCAGCATCACCACCATCACCACCACCATCATCACCACCACCACCACCACTCCCTATCACCACCACTCCCTACCACCACCATCACCACCACCATCACCACTCCCTACCACCACCATCATCACCACCACCACCACTCCCTATCACCACCATCACCACCACCACCATCATCACCACCATCACCACTACCACTACCATTCCCTACCACCACCATCATCACCACTACCATTCCCTACCACCACCATCACCACCACCACCACTCCCTATCATCACCACCACTCCCTCCCACCATCATTCCCACTCCCTATCATAACAACCGCTACCTCCAACTACCACAACTCCCTTTCACCACCACCGCTCCCCACCACCACTACCACCAAACCATCACAGCCACACCCAGGCCGCGCCGGGTCGTGGCCTCGCGGCGCGCGCACCCTCAGACAAAGGGGACCCGGCCCCTCTCCCCTCGGCACGCCCTGGCACCCCCTGAGTCCCCCCACACACCTCGTGCGTCTGTCTCCCTCCACACACCTCGTGCGTCTGTGCGGGACCGGGGCGGGGGGCTCCGGCACCAGGGTGGGCGGCTGCGGCGGCAGCTGCCGACGACGAGGAGGAATGGGAGGATGATGTGGTGGAGAACGAGGTGGATGAGATGAATGAGAATGATGCGGATGATGATGCTGATGATGCTGTGTATGAGAAAGACGAGGCGGATGATGACGATGATGTAGTGGATGATGATGAAGATGATGTGATGGTGGATGATGATGATGATGTTGTGGATGATGATGATGTGATGGTGGATGACGATGTGGTGGATGATGATGATGACGATGCGTAGAGGTCACGCATCTCTCCCTCCACACGCGGCCACGCGCACGCGCAAAACCTCCCCTGCAGCCCGAGCGGCGAGTGTGAGCACGTGGTCATTCATTCGTGTTCTCATTCACTCGCACGCGATATCATTCACAAGCATGTCTACTCACGTCCCCTCATTCATTCCCGTCTACTCAGACGCGATTTCATTCATTCACGCGTGCACCCGGCACTTTATTCATTCGTGTGCTCAGAAACATGCCGTCATTCATTCACGTGTACTCATCGCAAGTGCTTTCATTCAATCGTTCATTTATCCACACACGTGCTTTCGCTCGTGTACGCATTCACACCTGCTTCAATCAATACGTGCTCATTCACACACGTGCTTCAACTCATTCACACACTTTCATTCATCCACTCACACGCGCATTCATTCGCTAGCACGTGGGGGTGGGGCCAAGCGTCAAGTCACGCCTCCACGCAGCGCCACCCCGGGGAGGTTCCTCTTGAGGAGCCCGGCAGAGTGGAGTGGAGCACGAGAGAGCGGAGTGGAGCACGAGAGAGCGGAGTGGAGCCAGGCAGAGTGGAGCAGGAGAGAGTGGAGTGGAGCCGGGCAGAGTGGAGCACGAGGGAGCAGAGTGGAGCTCGGCAGAGTGGAGTGGAGCCAGGCAGAGCGGAGTGGAGCCAGGCAGAGTGAGGTGGAGCCAGGCAGAGTGGAGTGGAGCCAGGCAGAGTGAGGTGGAGCCAGGCAGAGTGGAGTGGAGCCAGGCAGAGTGGAGTGGAGCCAGGCAGAGTGGAGTGGAGCCAGGCAGAGCGAGGTGGAGCCAGGCAAAGTGGAGGGAAGCACGAGGGAGCAGAGTGAAGCCGGGCAGAGTGGAGCACGAGGGAGCAGAGTGGAGCAGGAGAAAGCAGAGTGGTGCTCGGCAGTGGAGCACGGGAAAGCGGAATACTGCTGCTGCTGCTCTCATTTGTCCTACCTTTACCTGGCTAAACGTAGCCACTCAGTAGAAGCTGGGCATACCCACACACACCTGATGCAGCATCATCACAGTTCTGTCGTGCTACAGTGCGCTGGGTATGTTTTGGATACAATTGCTGAGCACAGGTACGAAGGTCTCGAAACGTAAAGCGGCCAGCAACACACAGCACTATCCGAGTTGTAAACAGAGGGGTGTTATTGTCGTTATAAGAGCTTGGGGGAAGCGACGACGGGAGGGAATTCCACAGCGGAGCAGTGGCAAGGGAGGAAGAGGCAGGATCGAGAAGTGTCGCGTGACCTGCAGGATGGTGGTGCATAATACAGGTTTTGTTTTGGGCTAGATCGCGTAAAAATTAATGTGTGTTTTCAGATGCTGTCTTCCCGACAGACCTGTTCTTCACCTGAGGACGGCTGCTTGCGTTGTGGCCGAAACGTCGTGAGAATTATTTTATTGTTTTATTTGTATTATTTTATTATTTCCCTTCTACGTGACTTTACCGAAAGAACCAAGAAAATTAATGTGTCATTAAACCCGCCGCCACCAACCACCCGACACAGCCAATTAGTAAGTTTTGTCACGTAAACAGAACATGTAGGAGAGCGAATCCACATTTGTTCACACCGGTGTGCTGTGCTAGTGACGAATTGGCACGTTCTGTTTACGTGACAAACCTTACTAATTGGTGGTGGCGGGTTTAACAACACATATTTACGCGATCTAACCAAAAAAACTTTGCGATGTTAGGATGGTGGTGGTTGAACACAATGTGTGGATGAGACGAAACGATCGGTCTAAATCAGTGGCTTAACCTTTTACTGCAGCCTTGCACCCCTTTGGTTCTCAAGTCGTTAAAACATCGACAATGTTAACACACACGTAGGCTTTGATGAAAACAAAGTTATGATTTGCCTTCTAAAAAAAAATCTGCCCATGTCTCGCAGCCCCAGAAAGGGCATCTCGAACCACCTGGTCTAAACTAATTTTTTTTTACTTTACCAGGTTAGGTAAACGAAGCTAAATAGCTCTTTTTCAGAAGCGACACGGCTATCACAAATTGTTGTAGCAGGAGGGAGGGCGAGATGGAAGGATGTTGGTGGATCGCGATCAGGGGACAGTGGATGTGACCAAAGAGGATGAAATCAACTCGCGGTGGTGAGATAATCAGAGCACACCGACCCTCTGCAATAGCAGTCGGTGTGTTTTTATTTTTTATATTGGGACGCTTGGCTTGGATGATGTAAGCACAGTTATTATAATACAAGCAACACATCATTATAGGAAACTGCTAGGGGGGGGGAGAAGGAAAACTTCTGATACAAGGACACCATCTGGGATCTAGGCAGTTGGCTTTGCTCCCAAGGGGGATGTGCTTATATCCAGATGTGACTTCGCATGGCTAATGGCTACGTAACGATATACCCAAAAACCATCTCCGGAGCAGGGCCGGCGCGATGGTGGGCCCTGGGGTGGGCCCTGCGCCACTAATTGTCCCTGCGGCCCACCCAAGTTGACTCTCCTCGGTAGCGATGACACTGTGCCACCCCTCCCCCTGCCCCCCCCCGAATCCGAGAGTAGCTGGAGCCAGGCCTGCCCCCATGCCCCCCAACCCCAGCAGCGTGACTATGGATTATCACGATTCCGGGTCCCGCAAACCATTCCCGTTCGTCTCGTTTCCCCCCCCCCCCTCCGCCTCAATCACGTTGTTTCGACCTGGTTGGTGCCGCTGAGTTTGCTCTTTTCTAGTCGGAATGCCACATTCGCATACAAGCATGAGTCCCAGCCATTCTCTATCCACCAACGGCTGTCAGCGCAGGTTGGTGAAGGGCAGAGAGGACGGGATGTCACTTGCGACCGATGTCACCCCTGTCTGGGAATCGGAACTCCCGTCACTGGGTTTGAACCGCGGTGCGCAAACAGCTGGACCACCGCTCCACGTTCACATGCCGCCTGGTGACGTGGCCCAGCCATGTCAGGTAGGCAGTTCGATTCCAGCAGGCCGTCCTGGTTACTACTGCGTGCGTACACATGTAAAAATATGCAGTTGGTTTCACAGTGGATGTCAGGCCATTGTGTGCCGGCGTAATGGTCCGTAAAAAATTAAACCGCAAATTACTCAATCCGGGTAACGCACATCAATCAATGCTCCCTACTGGCAGAACCATATCCATCTGTGAAACATAGCACCTTGCTTTCTGACAGCAATGCACTATGAGAGTGGCACGAACGCCAAATGCGCGAATTATAAATCTGCGTTCATCGTAATTGCTTCTCGCACACACGACTCGATGCGCATATCTAGAGTCTAAACAGTCGTATTTAATAGACCAATCGACACATCACGCCAACGGCACGACCGTTGCCGCACCCTCAATTATGATTGGCTGCATCGGTGTTTCTCTCAGAGCATCTTCGTTACAGACTACAGCTCCAGCGACAAAATCCCACGCCATCCGCCAGGTATCGGCCACCCGGCCAACAGGCATCGGAAGAGATTCATTTCTCACTGAATATATTCCAGTTCACAGGTAGACTGGAATGGGTGGCATGTGAACAGTGGTAGTCGGGGCCATAGTAAGGGACAGGGATGTACTGGATGTGCTGTTGGCGGTGCGGAAATATTTTCCAGGTCACTGCCCCGGACAGACCGCCAGGAGGACCATGTATCTTCCAGGTATTGACCGGGTATTGTTTCCACAGTGGAATCATGTCGCTACAATAGAATGTGTATATCCCCAGAGTTCAAACCCCGTGTTTCATATTTTATTTGGTCAAATTTGATCTCACACCAGTAGCAAGGTATTGGCCATTGTGGCCAGGCGTGTGGCGCAGGCCGCGAGCGCAGGCGAGGGTGCGAGGTGCCTGGCCGTCGGCGGTGATGGTGGTGGTGCCCAGGAGCTGGAATCACTTGCGCTTGGTGGCCTGCAGGTTCGGAGCAGGAGACCTTCACCTTGCCTGGAACGTTCCTGGACAAGTCCGTGTCCTACGGGGGGGGGAGGACATAGCCAAACTTCTCGGCACTCTGCTCACCGATCCGTCCTCCCTGTCCCCTCTCTGCTGGGTCTGGAACAATCGTGTCATCGTGGATGTGCGATTTGATTCGGTATTCGATGTTTTTGCCATTGAGTTTGAGATTTAACACCCCGAGTGGTTGCAGGAATGAGCACCCATAGTGGCTGCAGGGTATGTGTCTGTGTGTTAACGCGCTGAGCTACGAAAACGGCGACCCGAGTTTGATTCCCGCTCACGGCCAACACCAGTGACGATTATCTCAACCGATCCTAGGCCTCCCCCCTAGGTTGACTCAGCCTCATATGAGTCCCTGGTGCGGTGTGTAAAAACATCGCCACTGGGCAGACAACGGCGGTTGGGCGTGGTACTGGCCACCCACCTCCTTGTGTGCTCGCTAACAGCACTTGACCCAATAGTCTGAAAGGCTATACAGGAGATCTTTGTCGTGTGTGTACGAGTTTGTGTCCCGCACAGCTTCAGCCAGATCAGGGGCAGTCGACCCAGGAGGAAAACTAGGCTAGGAGCAGGGTTCGTCTGAGCAAGCGGTGGAGGCCATGGTACGTTTGAACGTCGAGGTCACGTCCGGCCTCGTCAAAGTTCAAACGACCCCGGCCGGTGTCTCCGAGCTCAAGTCACTGCCCACCCCCTCTCCCGTGCTGCCCCTGTCGTCGTCAGGATCATTTGCCCTCCTCCCCTGCTGCCCCCGCTCGTTCTCTATCTCTCTGACTCGCCTTGACGCTTTTGAAGAGATCCTTCTCCCGCGCCGTGGTGTCGCGCGCGTGGAGGAAGCTGTGCAGGGCCGTCTTGGCAGCTGCGACGCACAAACGTGGATGTTCGGCCACACGGGAGTGCAGTAAGGAAGCATGCAACGGCACACAGCCAAACAACAGCGCACACCCAAACAACGGCGCACAGCTAAACAACGGCACGCGCCACCACCACTGGCCATACACACCACCACACACTAAAAGTACACACTGCTACAAAGACCGCCGGTGTAGCCTACGCAGACTGTGGGGCAAATGCTGGTTACCGAGCACCTATGAAGGCCGGCACGGCACACGAGAGCGTGGGCGGCCAACACGACGCCCTGCCGGCATTTGTCTCCCCAGTGTCGATGCTTACAAACTGCACTAGGTGCTCATTTAAAGATGAGTTAACCTAAGGGAGTCTCATGACCAGTTTAGATGTGTTACTAATGTTGCCGTGAGTGGGATTCGAATTCAAGTTGCGGAGTTCTTAGAGCCGTTTGCTAACCACTGTGCCATCGCTCCTCACATACACCAAGACCACCGGTATAGCCTCAACAGACTGTTGGGACAAGTGCTGTTCATGACCACGGACACACACACACACAAGCGCGCGCGCACACACACACACAAGCGCGCACACACACACACACAGTGGCAGCCGTTAGGACGCACCTTTGCCTTTCTTCTGGGCACCAGGTGTAAGCTTCACCTTGAACCTGGTGGCAGAGCGTAGTTTTCATGTTCACCACAAGTACGTGTGGTTAATGCAGACTTGATTCCTTAAAAAATGTTTCTGTTTGGTGTTTGAACATCTTAACACCACCTGTTTTGTTGCCAGAAGGGTCCCCCATGTTGTGGTAGTGTAGCGGTTAGCACGCTGCGCTATGAACCTGGTGACCCGAGTTCAATTCCCGCTCACAGCCAACACCAGTGATGATTATCTGAATTGGTCCTGGGCCTCCGCTAGGTCGACTCAGAGTCAAATGAGTACCTGGTGTGGTGCGTAAACATCGCCACTAGGGAGACAAACGCGGCCGGGCGTGGTTGCTGGTCACCCACCCCCTCGTGTGCCATTCCGGCCTTCATAGGCTAACAGCACTTGCCTCAACAATTGTTAAGGCTATAGGGAGGATCTTTGTTTGTGCGTGCATTTCTGTGCGTGCGTGTGGTACTTGTAGTTGGTCATGGCTGTGTAGGGGGCGCAGGTCGGGATTGCAAACAGGAGGAGGTCGTCTGCATCTGGCTGCCCGGTCAAAGAGTCCAGCACAGCCTCCGCGTCCTAGACATCACATCACCGTCACGTCACCCCCGACGTATTTCACATCACCGGTCAATTCATAACCGCATCACTGTCACATCACCACCGCTTGATGACCACATTATGGCAAGTATCCACATGTTATCATCACATCATCGCCAACATCCCTGTCAGCTCACACAACATACCACTCACTCCAATCACACAAAGGCAGGGGCGGCTGCAAGTGGCATCCCACGTGATCAGCTGGAGACAGGGCCTCCCCCCGCCCCCCCTGCTCCCCCCCCCGCCCCACTTACCTCGACTGCGGCCTGCTCCGTTTCTCCGTCGTCCGGGTCCTGCGTGGCGACACGAAGGGTAAAATTTTGAGACGCAACTCCGCAAATCAGAAACACGTGGGGGACCTCCCCCCACCCGGTGCAGAAATCCTGTGGCGAGACCGCGACTCCGCACTCACTCACCTTGTCCTCCGCGTCGCCCCCCTGCTGCTCAGAGGAGACCGTCACGTCTCCCAGCTGATTGGCAGCCTGCTCCACGGGGGTCACCTGACCCTGAGGCTGGATGTTGATTGGGCGTGGCGCGGGCTTATGTTTCACGCGCTCATCCTTCTTCCCCTTGCCTTTTTTGTGTTTGGGTTCCTTTGGTTTCCCCTCCGACTGCCAACACATGAACAGCACGCAGTGTCATGTGATAGGAACACGAGCACGTGACAGGACACGTGGTCACGTGACATGTCGCGTGGTCACGTGACGCGCGTGCGGCTAGGCGACACACACGCGCCTCCATATGTGAGATGAGTAGCAGGGCAAGGCCTCACCCCGAGCAGCTCCATCCTCAGCTTCCGCTCTTCCTCATCCTGGTCCGCGTACTTCTCCCGAATCTTCTTTAACTTGCCCTGCTCGCACCCAACACACGCAAACACAAAGATGAAGATCTCCCAGGTAGCTTTTCGCAGGCTGTTGGGGCTAGTGCTATTTCCGAGCATCTATGAATGCGAGCCTGGCGTACGAAGGAGTGCTGTGGCCAACACTACATCCGGCCGCCTTTATCTCTCCCCAGTGCCCATGTTGACACACTGTACCAGGTACTCATGTAAGGTTAACCTAGAGGGGACCCAGCATGGGGTTCTTATATCACGTGCCACTGATGGTAGCCATGGCTGGGAATTTAACTCAGGCAGGAGAGTTAGAACACAGCATGAGGTAGCAGGAGGTAGCAGGAGGAATCAGGAGGCAGCAGGAGGCAGTAGGGGACAGTAGGAGGCAGCAGGAGAGTTAGAACACAGCAGGAGGTAGCAGGAGGAAGCAGGAGGAAGCAGGAGGCAGCAGGAGGCAGTAGGGGACAGTAGGAGGCAGTAGGGGGAAGCAGTAGGCAGCAGGAGAGTTAGAACACAGCAGGAGGAAACAGGAGGCAGTAGGAGACAGTAGGGGAAAACAGGAGGTAGTATGGGAAAGCAGGAGGCAGCATGAGGTAGTCGAGGGAAGCAGGAGGCAGTAGGGGAAAGCAGGAGGTAGGAGGGGGAAGCAGGAGGCAGCGGGAGAGTGAGAACACATCAGATGAGCCCCTCACCTTCTGGCCACGTTTGTGGGCAGGCTGGGCCACCCCCCCCAGCTTCTCACCCTCTCCGGTCACCCTCTCCGCCTCGGCCTGGGATCCAGCAGCAGCAGGGGGGTCCGCGGGGTCCGAGGGGTCCGCGGGGTCCGAGGGGGGCGTTTCCAAATCCTGCGGGGTTGAGCTGCAGGCGAGCCCTGGCTGAGCCCCTGGCTGCTTCTTCTGCTTCTTAAGGTCCCTGGAGTCACAAGGGGTGGTGGAGGGGTGGAAGGGCAGGGTGGAGGGGTGGGAGGGGGCAGGGTGGGTGGGGTGGCAGTGAGGTCATGCGGCTGCAGTTATAAGGTCAGAAGCGTGGAGCAGGCACTGCTGAGATCCTGGGTTCGAATCCCAGTTTCAGCCTCCCCTGGTTAAACCGGGTTTTCAAGTTAAGTGTGGACTGACCTGCGCTCCTTGGCAGAGAGATGTTTCCGGGATTTGTCATCTCTCTGGAGAGAAACGCGGCATACGGAGAGGGAAAAAAGTGATTGGGGCAAGTTACGGTTCACAGATCAATTCATTATTAGGATCCAGGTTGACAGTTCATCACGATTAAAGTTGCACAGTTACCATGTGTGTGTCTGTGTTCGCTACCCGTGTCCTTTACTGATGTGTGTCAGTGTGTCTCTGTGCGTGTCCGTGCGTGTCCGTGCGTGTCCGTGCGTGTCCGTGCGTGTCCGTGCGTGTCCGTGCGTGTCCGTGCGTGTCCGTGCGTGTCCGTGCGTGTCCGTGCGTGTCCGTGCGTGTCCGTGCGTGTCCGTGCGTGTCCGTGTATCTCCACGTGCGGTACCTGTGCGTCTCCCTGCATCTCCGAGGCTTGTGATGTGCTCGCTGGCACTCCGTCGGGCCCAGCTGCCATGCCGGGCCTGCGGGGGAAACACGGAGACGCACGATAGGCACACACAGTCGCTGGCGCCCAGTGCAAGCAAGTGAGGGGATGGGGGAGGGGAGGGGGAAGGTGGAGTGATGCCCTCACCTGTGCATGTGTAGGTGAGACGGCTGAGCCAGGTGAGACAGGTCGATGTTCGTGTCGGGGAAATCCATCTCCCCGCCACTATCGCCCCCGCCATCGGAGTCCCCGCTGCCTGGCTGCACCCTCACCTCCTCCTCCTCTTGCGAGCCCTCCGATTGGCTGTCTTCCTCTTTGGGGGGTGGGGGGCCACCCTGAGCGGAGGGGGCGGCCGAGACGGCGTCTTCTGATTGGGTGGCAGGGAGGCCTCCTCCCTCCCTGTCTCCCGCCGCCCCCTCCTCCTCCTCCCCATCAGAGGGTACCTCCTCTGTGGGAGAGCGGGTCGTAGGCCTCAGGCTGACAAATGCTCGCACGTGCGTTACCGCGGCAACTAGAGCCGGGTGCCATGGGCTGCGGTCATCCTCAACAATGTCAACGTTAATTTGCTCGACCCCGATGTAGGGCACCCCCAGTGGCAGCTGTCTCTGTGTGGCACAAGGTGACTCAGCACCTGGCCTGTAAGCAGACATAAGTCTGCCAGTCAAGGGTAATGATTGCTATGTGTTATCCCCACCAACTATGGAAAATTAATTCGGCCAATATTTGGACCAGGACGCTGGTAAAGATTGGTCTATTTGGGATGAATGATGAGATGTAGGCAGCACATTTTCACGGTTCATACTCCGCCAGTCGTACTGATATGTATTGGCAGAGCTGGAATTTAGGCGAATTAAGCGCACATCCAAATTGTAAGCATTTTTTTTTTAAGTCCTTGGCAACCAGCCTGAGATCAACAGCTCACTAGAAACGATACCGGTAATCAAACCCAGGATTCTCAGCGTTGCCAGCCCAGCGCTCTGACCTCCTGACCCAGCTGGGCACCACCACTCCACCAGCCTGCGGGGTCAAACAGGGGTCGCACTCTGTGACCTACCCAGGTCGACGGACGCCTCCTCCATGATTCGCCCCGCTTCCCTCGCCTCCGACTCCAGGTCCTCGTCCTGAACTCTGACCTTTCGCTCCCCCTTGTGACGAGCGACACAAGACTCGTCCACCTGATCAACACGAGCGAACACACACACGGGACAGTAAATATATCTATACACACACGCGTATTTAAGGTTGAGCCGACCTAGGCGAGGCACAAAGACACCAGCAGCCCGAGTCACCACGATTGGGCTAAGAACAACTTGTGGGTGCAATTTGTTATTATTTTGATTACTACGCTTGTTTACCCAGGAGAGCCTCACTGAGTCTCAAGACTCTTCTTCAGGTGGACCCTGCTAAGTTTTTTTGCAGTAGGAGGGTCATGTTACTGTGTGTGATCGCTCATCAGTAATTTTCAGGTCATTTTTCAGCACTGGGATGTTTTGTATGTTTTTGTTGTTGTTGTTGCAATGGGAAGATACTGGGGAACCCAGAGAAAACTCATGCAGAACAGGGGGAGGGAGAACATACAAACTCCACCCAGGAAGGCACCCAAGTCAGGAATCGAACCCAGGCCGTTCGTGCTGTGAGGCAAGAGTGTTACCACTGCACCCCCACCCTGCCACCCAAGTAAACGTGGCAACGTTGTTCATGAAAACGTGGCGACGGACTCAAGACACACACCTTGAACAGGAATCCAAACCCCATCATGAGGTAAGAAGGAGGCAGGTAGTTCTTCTTACCTGTGCCAGCAAAGACACGCACGCACACACGCACACACGCACACATACACGCATGCACACACACGCATACACACGCACACATACACGCATGCACACACACGCATACACACGCACGTACGTGCGTTAATACCCATGACCAGGTGCTTTCAGAGCAACACTCTCACCAGATAACGCAGCCGTTGTGTACTGCACGCAATAAACACATGGCACCAATTCTAGATTTGAAATTTTCGTGACTGCACGGATCCATAATCTTTGGTTATTTCGGTAAAGTCACGTAGGTGAAAAAAATAAAATGAAAATAAATAAATAAAATCACACTTTAGCGATTGTTTTGTTGCTGTAATTGTCCCACCTGATGACGGGCGCTTGTGTTGCGCCCGAAACGTCGCGATTTAATTTATTTATTTTTATTTTATTTATTCACCTACGTGACTACCGAAAGAACCAAAGAACATGGCACCCAACCTGTACATCGCCACACCCGCGTGTCACCATATGCATACAGCGTCACACCAGTACGGTACCACGCCTGCATTGTCGTGGCAATTCTACAGAACCAAATATTTGCTTCGGGTTTATTTCGTGTCACCAGGTGACAACTCGAGATGGCAGGACACGAGTCTCATTTGGCAGGAGTGACCTGAGGAGGTTGCAAGAGTGTCACCGCACCTGTACGGCACTACACACGTACAGCTCTAACACCTGCATGGTAAAACACCGGTGTTTCACCGCACCTGCATATCACCGCCAATCCTGGCTCCAGCTGCTCTTGGATTGTGGGGGGCCCATTTGAGCTGTCGAGTGTGGGGGGCACCGTAACATCGGCATACCGCTAAGGAGCATCAACTTGGGTGGGCCACGGGGACATCTGGTGGTGAAGGGCCCAGCCAAGCACGGACCCCATCACACCTGCGTGCCCCCCTAAACCTGCGTGCCCCCCTAAACCTGCGCGTCCCCCCCACACCCACCTGCATCGCGCCGCCCGCTGCGTGGCACTCACCGCGGACCATGAAGCTGCCCGTGGTGAGGTACTCCCCGGAGGGCGCCGTCTTGGTGACCTGGTGGTGGTGCACCCACCAGGCGCTGGTGACGACACGGGCATCCCACGCGGCGCTGTAGCACACGGCCATCGTGCCAGCCTCCGTGAGCGTGCGGGGGGGCACCGCCTCTCCTGGTGGGGGAGGGGGTGGGGGGCATCATCATAATAGGTGCAGCGTGATTATGGAGGGGTCCTCATCATGGTGAACAGAGTTAATGCAGGAGTCCTTGAGAAAGGTTTCTGTTTGGTATTTTAACAACTGAACACCTGTTTTATTGCCAGAAAGGGTAAAACCCATTCTTATATTTTGATGCTGGCAAGGGAGGTCCCATGATGTAGCTGCTCACCCCGAGATCTCAATATCCTGATCGTGACATTGTCTTTGTGCTGGTCGCCTTTTGGCATTCTCTGGTCATACACTGTTTAAGACTAGGCTCTAAAGAAGTTGTCTCTGGTGTGGACCAATCAGTTTCAAAGACTATGCGTATAGTATCCTATGGTTCTTTCAGTAAAATCACATAGATAGAAAAAATAATAACAATTAAATAATAAAAATAAAGTCAATACATAATCATTTAAACATCATCCTGATGACGATTGCTTGTGTTGAGATCGAAACGTCGTGATATTTGTATTATTTTTTATTCACTTTATTTTCATTTTTATTATTTTATTGTTATTATTCCTTGCAAAAGGTTTATGTTTGGTGTTTTAACATCTTAACACCTGTTTTATTGCCAGAAAGGGTAAAACCTCTAGTTTAGTGGTTGGAACGTGTTTTGTGGTTCCAGTGGGACGTAACCCGTGCCAGGCTAGGTGCAGGGATCCCTGTGAGTAGCTCGGAGTGGCGGTCTCACCCGTGGGGTTTTTGATGACGCAGCTCGTGGCTCCGTGCAGATCAGCGTGAACGTAAAGATCTCCTGTCAACGGCAGCAAACACACACACGTACACAATATACACAAGATACACGATACTAGCATGCACACATAGAATACACACACACACTTACCAATTTACACAATACAAATATACACGCAAATAAATAAACATAAACACACAAACACGTAAATACACACACATCACTATGTCAATGACAGTGCACACATACATACACCAGTACACACACAGACGTACAACAAAGACTAAGATCCCCCACAGCCTACACAGGCTGTTGGGGCGAGTGCTGTTAGCGAGCACCTATGAAAGCCGGCAAGGCATATGAGGGGATGGTGTGGCCAGCACCACTCTTGGCCGAGTCACACCAAGTACTCATTTAAGGCTGAGTCGACTTTATGGAAGGCCAGAACCAGTTCAAATATTCACCACTGCAATTGGTCGTGAGCTGTAATCGAACTTGGGTCGCTGGGTTTGGAGTGCAATGGGCTAACCACTGTGCCGCCGCTGCCCACACCACCCCAAGATACACTCGCACCCTCTCACACACACACAGGTGAGCTCACCTGCTCGCAGGTAGCGCTTGACGATCATCTCGTTCTGCTGCTGGTCGCGGCCAGCGATCACCAGGAAGTTCTCCGAGCTGATGAACCAGAGGAACTTCTCGAACCTGCTCGCACGCACGCGGCACGGCGCCACCCATCACTACCGCGCCGAGGGGGTCACAGCAAAGCCCAGCGTCACGCAGTGGAGTCGTCGCCTCATCGACACGGAGGTCAGGAACACTCGGCATTGAGGAGAGCGGCTAACTTCCGCTTGGCTCTGAGATTGCGGGTCAAGTGGCGTGTTGGGTTGGGGTCAGGGTTGAAGGGGTCAGGGTTGAGGGGTCATACCAGTAGACCTTGCGCGCCTTCTGGATGGAGCTCACGACTTGCACCTCCTTGAGAGTCTGTCGCGTCTTCTTCTCGGCAGACTTGAATGCCTGTGGCACACCTCGTCGACAAGCCACCTCGTCAGTCTCATGTCTTGATAACACGCCACTTCGTCGGTGTCACACCTGGCAACAAGGCAGCTGCTGATACGCTCAGCACATGAACATGTGGCACACACATCTAACATGTGACACACGCACCTGACACGCACATTTCTACCTTTTCTGATGCCTCAATGGTTTTCTGCTCCTTCTTGGCGGCGTGTCTCTTGTGATCGTAATACCTACACAAGGCACCGCACACACACTTAGCACCACGCCACACACTTAGCGCCACACGCACACACACAGCACCACGCCACACACTTAGCACCACACACACACTTAGCGCCACACACACACACACAGCACCACGCCACACACTTAGCACCACACACACACAGCGCCATACCATACACTTAGCGCCACACGCACACGCAGCACCACACCACACACCTAGTGCCACACGCACAATTAGTACCATACACACACACACACAGCGCCATGCCATACACTTAGCACCACATGCACACGCAGCACAATGCCACACACGCAGCACCACACGCACAATTAGCACCACACAAACTTGCAGACAGAGGGAGTGAGAGTAGGAGGGGCAGGGCAGGGTGACTAAGAAGGAGAGCAGCAAGAGGGAGTCGGGAAGGGGAGCAGAGAGGGGAAATGGGAGGAGCACCTCTTGGAGTTAGCGTAGGCGGACAGGCTCAGGTCGATGTCGATGAGCGCCGGGCGCCCCTGTTGTGGCTTCTGCCGCTTGTGCTGCTGCTTTGTCGCTTTTACGGCCTCTCCATCGCCGGCCTCACCGTCCGAGCCGTCCTCACCACCAGCCCCAGTGTACGGGTTACTGTATCACCGCCAATGCACCAGTAACATCACCATCCATTCACCGTTAACACCATCACAGCCAATAATAGATCTATTATATACGACAATAACACCATCACCACCGTATCAATGTGCGCACCAGACCACCAGACCTGGGGTCAATTATAATCAAATTACAGAAGCATTGTTGGCTGAAATTAAGATAAGATTGTGATTGTAACTAATGAGTTATAAATCACACAGTTAATTGCAATTGCCCCCAGGTCTGCTACACTCAGTGTTTGTGTTCTGTTTAACAAGTAGGCTTTCGTGACCAATATTATTAATAATCAAGGCTTTTGGGTTAGATTGCGTAAGTATGTGTCGTAACCCTCCACCACCCGACACAGCCAACCATTAAGGGATTTGTCACGTAAACAACGCGCCAATTAGTCACTACTTCAGCCCACCGGTGTGTTGGAGAGTAAATCAACAACATTTACAATTTAAGTTCGACGTTTCGCTGGTAATTACATCATCCAGCATCATCGGGCGATTTGCCAGAACTATTCTGGATTTACTCTCTAACACACCGGTGGGCTGAAGTAGTAACTAATTGGCGCGTTGTTTACGTGACAAATCCCTTAATGGTTGGCTGTGTCGGGTGGTGGAGGGTTACGACACATTTATACTCACGCGATCTACCCCAAAAACCTTCATCGTGAATTTGTGTTCTGTGTTCACCGCTTGTAGCGCGCGTGTTGTGTGCTCGTTGTGTCGCCGTGTGCAGCACGCGCGCCGCATCCGCACGCTGCGCGCGTTGCCGCGTGCCGCCCCACCTGAGCGCCATGGTGATGTGGTTGGTGTTGAGCTTCAGGGCCTTGATGGCGCAGGCCACGGGGTCGCCCTGCTCGCTGGCCTCGCGCACCAGCGCGCCGATCTCGGCCCAGTCCAGCTGGTTGGCCAGGGCACTGCGCACCACCGTGATGGCGCGCTCCACCACCAGCAGGTTCACCTCGATCAGCTCCGCCTTGCGCCGGTCCTCCTCCTGCACTCGCACGCACGCACGTACGCACGGGTATGTAGAGGCACGCACGGGTATGTAGAGACACGGGTATGTGGAGGTACGCGTTGGTGCCGGCGTTTCACACGCGGTGGGTGGGGGGGGCGGGTGGCCATCCTACTCCGTGACGTCACGTAAAGACTGTGGGCGATGCAAACGCTGTAGCCGAATGGCAATAGGGGGGGCCCCATCTGTGCCCCCCGCGCCCCCCTATGGCGATGTTAGTGTCCCGGCGAGAGCTCACCTGCGCCTGCTGCAGGGCGTCCAGCCGCCTCGTGTGGTCCTTGCGCACGTTATCCAGCTTCTTGAGTGCCTGCTTCTCCTGTGAGACAAATGGGACAGCTTGCACACACGCTTCACACACACACGCTCTACACACACACTCACGCTACACACACACGCTACACACACACATGCTACACACACGCTCCACACACGCTCCACACACACACACGCTCAACACACACACTACACACGCTTCACACACACACGCTTCACACACACACGCTTCACACACACACACGCTTCACACACACACACGCTTCACACACACACACGCTTCACACACACACACGCTTCACACACACACGCTTCACAAACGCGCGCACAACACACAAACACTCTACACACGCTCTATACACACACACACGCTACACACACACACTCCAATATCACCACCTGCCATTTCGCCACTAAGTGACAGTGACATTACCACAGCACTTGTGCCAGGATCGGTGCACTTTGAGGCCAAGTGAAGTGTCGAAGGCTCGCTGACAGGTCACGGGACAGACCCAGGTGTCATGGGTTGACTCGGATAAATGGCAGAGATACACCAGCTGTGCCCTCTACTGTGCCAACTGTGCCGTACTCTCCACACGCACTCATCTTCACACACACACACACATACACTCCACACACACACAATCCACACATGCCCATCTCAACACATACACATGCTCTAAACACACACAGACATCTATATACACACGTACACACAGACAATACTCTCAACACACACACACGCACTCATCTTAACACACACATACAGACACTCCACACACACACAATCCACACATGCCCATCTCAACACATACACATGCTCTACATACACACACACAGACATCTATATACACACGTACACACAGAGTATACACTCAACACACACACACACACAAGCACGCATGCACGCCCAGACCTGATGCAGTGCCTTGATGTCGATCTTCTGGCCTTCCATCTTGGAGAAATACTCATCCACGGCCTGAAACACATACACACACAAACAAAATTCACGACGACGGGACCTCGTTTTGAGTCACACACAATAAACATAAAGGGAATGTATAGAGTATAAAGGTAACCGCAATGAAGGTAAAATAATCGTTACGTATTTTCCCAGGAAAGCCATACAGAGTCCAAAATCTATTTTTCATGAGGTACCTGCATTGGAAAGTTTGATCAATAACATATAAACTCCATAGATAAAGGCATCCGAGTAGAGAATCGAACCCAGGTCCTTCTTTCTGTGAGACACAAGTGTAACCGCTGTGCCGCCCTGGTGAAGTGGCGGTTATGAGAGAGGAGCGCACGGGGAGGGAGAGGGCTTCTGTCTGTTTTTACATCAGACACTGGCACAGAGAGAAACGGTCATAGGGAGAGAACAGGGAGGAGATCTTGAGTCTTGACTTGAATGGGGAGGTGAATTGACAGTGCAGCAACGGATAAACGAGTGACGTCCTGTTTAAGACATTTTACTGGAGCTTTGGATGCAAGGCGTAGGGGGGTCATGGAGGAGAGTAGAGTGAGACGAATGGGGAAAGGAAGGAGAGTGCGCGGAGGGGAATAGAGTGCAATGAGAGCGGAGAGGTAGGAGAGTGCATGGGAAGGAGTAGAGTGAGATAAGAGTGGTATACAGAGCTGAGTCCATGGAGGATCTTAGCAGTTGACATAATTTGATTGGGAGCCAGAGGGGGATTGGAGTGTGGGTGCGCCATGGTCTCGTGGACGGATACTGATGAGGGAGTCTGGCATCGGTATCTTTGATAATAGGATTTTGGAATTGAGGGGTTTGTAGAGGCTCTGAAGGAGAGAATTATAAAAGTCAATAGAGAGACCGGGTTGTGTTGCGGCCGGGTTGTGTTGGGGCCGTGTTGGGGCCGTGTTGGGGCCGTGGTGGGGCAATGGTGGGGTAATGGTGGGGCAATGGTGGGGTCATGGTGGGGTCATGGTGGGGTCATGGTGGGGCCATGGTGGGGTCATGGTGGGGTCATGGTGGGGTCATGGTGGGGTCATGGTGGGGCAATGGTGGGGTCATGGTGGGGCAATGGTGGGGCAATGGTGGGGTCATGGTGGGGACATGGTGGGGCAATGATGGGGTCATGGTGGGACCGTGGTGGGGCTGTGGTGGGGTCATGGTGGGGTCATGGTGGGGTCATGGTGGGGTCATGGTGCGGCAATAGTGGGGCAATGGTGGGGCAATGGTGGGGCAATGGTGGGGCAATGGTGGGGTCATAGTGGGACCGTGGAGGGGCTGTGGTGGGGTCATGGTGGGGTCATGGTGGGGCCGTGGTGGGGCTGTGGTGGGGTCATGGTGGGGCCGTGGTGGGGCTGTGGTGGGGTCATGGTGGGGTCATGGTGGGGTCATGGTGGGGTCATGGTGGGGCCGTGGTCTGTGTGCGCACCTTATCAAAGCTGTCCATCTCCAGGTAGGGCCCGCGTGAGTGCTGCGCAAACAGGAATGGGTGGAACTCCTCATACCTGTAAACATGAGCACACACACAAGGCACATGCACTCACACACATGCACAGAGATTCTACGTTGTGGCCTCAACGGACTGTTGGGGCAAGTACTGTTAGCGAGGACCTATGGCCAACAGCACGCCCAGCCACCTTTGTCTCCCAATAAATGATGTTAACACACCACATCATGTACCAGTTTAAAGATGAGTCGACCAAGGGGAGACCCAGGATAAATGCATACGGACACATGTGCATGCACACATGCACACATAGAGACAAGTGCACACACACATATCCCCATTTCAATATACGCAAAGAGAAGCCAAGGAAAGCTCTCACTCTCAGAATCTCCAACTTCCTTCCCACTCTCTCACTTTTTCACGCTCCCCCACTAAGTCTCCACCACTCTCCCACTCACGTCTCCGGTCTCTGACTCATTCTCCACCACGATCAACCACTCACTCTCCCAGTCACCCACCCACTATCCCACACTCTACTCTACAATGCTCTTGCATATCCCTCCGCACACACTCCCCCGCACTCTCCCATATTCTCCCGTGCTCTCCACCACTCTGCCCCACGCTCCCCCGCCCGCTCCCACGCACGTGAGCAGCTCCTCGGGCTGCTGCGTTGCGTCGACGCTCGGCTTCTTCTCTCGCTTCTGGATGATGTAGCCCTGGGAGGAGATGGAAAGCGGCGATCAGCTCGCTAACGACGAGAACCGTGCTAATGACGCTAACGCAGCTAACCATGCTAATGACGATAACAATAATAACCTCGAATGACAACAATGCCATTGACTGGAAAGGGACGATCGACGCTAATGAATTGAATGTCAGTAACGTTGCTGATGACGAGAGCGGCGCTAAGGGCACTAACGACAGAAATGGTGCAGAAACGCAAAGAAGGCTAATGAATTCTAACTCGAACCCCAAACGTTCAGGTCGCTTAACTCCGCCACACGATACTGACACACGTGACGGTAGAAACACTTCGAAATAATTTCCCCCCCCCGAAATGTTTTATCAGCAAGCGCCACTCATGGGCGTCAGCAAGTGGCATCCTGCACAGCAGGGGATGAGCGTCACGAGCGAGGGCACCGCATGAACGACTACGTGGGGACGAGCTGTGTGGAGTCACCCCCTTCAACCACGCACCGCACCTTTCCCTGAAAGTCGCTGGCTCTCTCCATGAACTCCTCCGACAGGGCGATGGCCTGCAGGACCTTGGGCAGATCTGTGTGTGTGTAGTGACACACAGGCACACAGACACGAACACACATGCATGAGCTCGCATAAGAAGCACGTGAGATGGGGAGATGTGAGGGATGGGAGGGGGGATGTGAGATGGGGAGGAGATGTGAGAGATGTGACGGATGGGAGAGGAGGAGAAGGGGATGTGAGGAGGGAGAGGGGACCTCACCTCGTGTGAGATCGAACCCTTGGCCCAACTTGGCCCCCTCGGGGAGGCCGGCCTGCAGGAGGCAGTGCTCAATGACCGCAGGACCAGGCGCTGTCAACAGCACACGCACAGACGCACACGCGCACACAAATATAAAGACAACGATCCCCCCTCTAGCCTTAATCGGCCAACACAGCACATGCCCGGCTGAATTTGTCTCCCCGGTGCTGATATTCACACACCGCACCGGTTACTCATTTAAGGCCGAGTCGACCTAGGGAAGGCCCAGGACTTGTTCAGATATTCACCACAAACACATAAACACATACATGTTGTATAAACATGTGCACTCAGATTGGTAATGCACATTAGGGATTGCAGATGAAATAATGGAGATAAACAGGTGCTGTCACGGGCTGTACATGTATTTGGTTGTGTTTGTGTTGCGACCTGATAAACTAATGTGGACGAGGCACCCTGCTGCATTCAGACACATCCTCAAAACCCAGCATCACACGTACGAGCACGACCGGTGGCCGCAGACTTACTCATGTGGGGGTTCAACACCCGCTTCAGTTGGTCGCCCTTCGATGCCGCTTCGAGGATCTCCGTCAGCCTGAAAATAAAACAACCATCATTACAACAACACAAACACAACAACAATAACCATGACGTAAGTTGCTCAATCCTTGAGAAGTGCTCCACAGCCTAACGGGTACTCTATCAAAAACAAATGATTATAATATTGTGCATGTGACCACCGGCATGAGTATACACACGGGTGGGCACGCACATGCGCACACAGTGCCCACATACCCCACGCACGCTGGGACTCACCGCTCCACGGAGAGCGGTGCTTGCACCGCGAGTGCGGCGGCGTCGCGAGGGTAGCGCTCGCGCACGGCCAGCTTCACGTCCATCGACTCGTCCGTGCGGAACCGCAGCAGGTTCAGGATGGTGAACTCGTGGTCCGTCAGCACAACATTGCCCTGGGAGCCACAACAGCAGCAACAACAGTAGCAACAACAAAAAGCCGAGCATCAGCAGTAGCAATACCATAAGCGATAGAACATCTAAAAATTATAGATTCCGGCAGTGACAAAAGGCTTGAGAAGCACATTCGGAGAGCACATGGAGGGCACACAAAGACACAAAGTGACAGTGACACACAGAAGCACATAGTGACACGTGGTGATAGCGACACATAGTGACACATGACACACCGTGAAACTGTGACACATCAAGGTACATTAGCACAAGGACCTATACAGTGACACACGGTGATACACGACGGCACACAGCGATACACAAATACATATTGAGACACAGTGACGACACACGGAGTACACAGCGTGACACACAGAGGTACGCAGTGACACACAGTGACAGAAATAGTTTCACACACAGGGACACAGTGACACACAGACATACGTAGAGGCACACGGAGGGACACAGAGACACACAGAGGAGGTGGGCGAATGGGTGGGTGCTGGCCCCTCACCCGGTCGTAGAGCTCCACGATGAGGTGGTACGCCGCCTCGTTGGAGCCGAACTGGAGGTCGACGACGCGATCTGTGCCCAGCTGCTCTACGCTCACGAGGCGCCGCGACTTGAGATGTTTACGGCACTGAGCACAGCACACATCACGCCACACTGGACATGTAAATAAACATGGTACGCGCAACAAATACCGCACCAAACACACGCAACACACCACACGCAATACAAAGCACCCCACGCACAGCACATCAAACGCCACACCGCAACAGACTACCACGCACCACACATAAACACGACACACCGCACACAGAAGGAGAGGAGGGAGACGGGGCAGTGGGGCCCCCATGAGCACCTTCATGGAGAAGCCGGAGGGCATGTTGTTCTTGGGCCACTCAAACTCGGTGGTGTGAAGCCGCGTGCCAGACTCGATGAGAAGCACAGCCTTGGCGTCAGGCCTGTACACACGTGGTCACAACACCGCAGGGTCACACCGCCAGAGAGTCACGACGCTACTACACAACCACAACACCACCGAATCACGACACTACCCAACCACAATACCACACAGCCACAATAACCACAGAATCACACCACACAACCCCAACACCAAACAACCACAACACCGCTCAGCCAAAGCACCGCACAACCACAATAACTACAGAATCACAACACTACCCAGCCACAACCACAATACTAGTCACCTGAGGTGTGGACTCGAGTCATGTGACTTGGACTCGAGTCAGACTCGAGTCATGAATTTGATGACTTCAGACTCGACTTGGACTTGCATAACAATGACTTTGTCCCACCTCTGAGGTGTGGACTCGAGTCATGTGACTTGGACTCGAGTCAGACTCGAGTCATGAATTTGATGACTTCAGACTCGACTTGGACTTGCATAACAATGACTTTGTCCCACCTCTGCTAGTCACAACACTACCCAGCCACAACACCTCAGAATCACAACGCCACACAACCACGGGATGCTACAGAATCACAACACCACACAGCCACAACACTACCCAGCCACAACACCACAGAATCAAAACACCACACAGCCACAATAATTAGATAATCACAACACTACCCAGGTACAACACTACCCAGGCACAACACTACTCAGGCACAACACCACACAGGCACAACACTACAACGCCACACAACCACAGCACCCCGGGTCGCGTACCGTTGCAGTCGGACCAAGTATGTCCGAGTGTCCACATCGTAGACGTTGTTCACGCGCATCCCCAGCAGGCTGCAAGACACAGGACACAGCAAGAGGACACTTAGACACTGACACACACCGACACCGAGACGATGATACACCGAGACAGAGTAATATTAGAGACAGAGGAAGACATAGAGACACTGAGACACAGAGACACTGAAACACTCACTCAGACACCGAGACACAGAGACCGACTAAATGAGACGGAGACACATACGCATACAATGAGACGCTCAGATATTTAAAACAGACACAGCGACACCGTGACAGAGACACTGAAACATACATAGAGACATGGAGACGCGGAGATACGGAGACGCGGAGGGACGCGGAGGGACACGGAGACCGCGCCACAGGGCCCAGACCATCGGCCTAGGCTCTCGGCCGACAGAGGCCGCGCCGGGACGGCAGGGAATCTAGGCAACGCAGGGCGGAGCCGTTCTCAGTCCCAGAGATCCCTCACAGGGGGTCCCCTCGCACGGGGACCCCTCTCGTACCCCTCTCGGGAGCCCCTCACCTGCGCCGCAGCTCGCTCACCACGGCCCGCACGTCCACGGTGCTGAACCTCGTCTTCATCTTGCGTGACGGACCCGGAGCCGGGGTCTAACCTAGGCCTCACACACGTGAAGGGGTCAGAGGGCGAGGGGGCGGCTCTACCAGGGCCCCTCCCACCGGGATCCTCCCACAGAGATCCAGATCCTCCCATCGGGGTCAAGTTCCTCCCATCGGGGTCCTCCCAAAGGGGTCCAGACCCTCCAACCGGGGTCCTCCCAAAGGGGTCCAGATCCACCCATCGGGGTCCTCCCATTGAGTCGAGACCCTCCCACGGGGTCCAGATCCTCCAAAAGGGGTCCTCCCAAAGGGGTCCAGACCTTCCAACCGTGGTCCCAAAGGGGTCCAGATACACCCACCGGGGTCCTCCCATGGAGTTGAGACCCTCCCACGGGGTCCAGATCCTCCCAGAGGGGTCCTCCCACTGGGATCCAGATCCTCCAACCGGGGTCCTCCCATGGAGTTGAGACCCTCCCACGGGGTCCAGATACTTTCACCGGGGTCTTCCCAAAGGGGTCCTCCTATCGGGGTCCAGATCCTCCCAAAGGGGTCCTCCCATCGGGGTCCAGACCTTCCAACCGGGGTCCTCCCACAGGGATCCAGGCCCTCCAAGCGGGGTCCCAAAGGGGTCCATATCCTCCCAATGGGGCTCTCCCACATGGGTCCCACTGGGGTCCAACTAATAAAGGTGTTTGGGTTAGATCGCGTATGTGTCGTAGCCCTTCACCACCCGACACAGCCAGTATGGTTTGTCACGTTAACAAAACGCGCCCGATGATGCTGGATGTAATTACCGGCGAAACGGCGTGGACTCAAATTATAAATGTTGTGGATTTACTCTCCAGCACACCGGTGAGCATGAAGTCGTAACTTATTGGGTGCGTCTTGTGTGTACGTGATAAAACATTACTGGCTGTGTCGGGTGGTGGAAGGTTACGACACATGTATACTTAACGCTATCTAACCAAAAGCCCTGACTATGCTGATGGTGGTGGTGATGGCCGTGACGGTGTGAGGTGTCAGGGTGCTGACTCGCTGCTCCATCACGCGCGCGCGCCAGGATGACGCTGAAGCCCCCTCTCTCCCCACTCCAGGGGGCCCAGCAGGGCACGAGGGGGTCCTTATAGGGGCATCGCGGGGTGTGAGGACCCCGGGGGCTCGGATTGAGGTCACCCGCGGCTGGCGGGGGTGGGCGGGAGTCGAGAACGGTCCGGGCTCTGGTGGAAGGATTTGGACCTCTGTGGGGGTCGCCTTGGAAGGGTCTGAACCACGGTGGGAACTTTATGGGAGGGCCTGGACTCTCTGCTGCAGGGTCTGGAGCCCCCTGTGGGACCGTTGTCGGACCCCAGTCGGAGGTTCTGGACCCCTTTGGGAAGGTCTGCATCCCTGAGGAATATTGGTCGTGAAAGCCTACGTGTTAAACTATTATTATCATCGCCACCACCGTCATAATCATGCTCATCATAAGCACCACCACTATCGCCATCATCATACTTACCAACATTATCATACTCACTATCATCACCATCACCACCACCACCACAATATTCATGGTCATTATCCTTCCCATCACAAGTATGACTGTCATCATCATCATACCAAGATTATCAACCACTATCGCCATAACCACTACCACCATCTCCACTATCATCCACACCACATTCTCATCGACCCTCCCAAGCCACTGTCACCCTCACCTCGTGTCACTCGCATTTACCCTCACCACACACACCACCTTCACCAACACCGCCCTCTACACCCACAAAACCTCACCACCGATGCTCTCAGCACAACAGCATCTCACTACCCTCACCACCACCACCCTTACCATGACTGCCCTCATCACCCACCACTCTCTTCAGCATCACCACCCACAGCCTATGTCTACCCTCACCAACCACACGAGCTTCCTGCATCTTCACAAACTCGGCCATGTCTCCACTCCCCTCTCCGCAGCCAGTCTTCACCCTCACTGCCACCGGCCCTACCCAGCCGCCTGCCACCGTTGCCCCGTGTCACCCCGCACGTGATGGATGCACGGTGTGGGTTTTGTTGATGAGGCTAAGTCTGGCTGTCAGCGGGCGCACGTGTTGAGACAGCGGGTTTTTTATGGAGGCACGACCACAATAATAATAATAATACAAGTACAAGCTGGCAAGCCAGCCCGTTAATTGAGCATCTCGTTGTTCGTGTAGACCGCAGTACAATCTTTAAATTTAATATCGTGGATTGGACGAATGCCTCCCGAAAGCTGTCGCCATCTCTTACGGTCACGCAACGCCAACCATCCATCGAGCACCTGCAAACGGGTCATTCATTGAATATCGCTCCATCTCGGTGGTGGTGGTCGTCCTTTTGATCGAATCCCATCCTTTGGCTGCCATTCCGGCAGCAGTCTCAACCATTGAGCCTCATCGCTACCGGCGACGTGTCTTGCCCAACTACACTTGTTTTTCTTCAAAGTAAACACTCGTACCTTCAAACATGCACTCACCTAAACTAGCGGTAATTAAGGCAACTATTAAAACACAAGGAAAACTGTGAACTTAAGACTACCAGCTGACATTCAACTTCCAAATCCTTTGAGGCCCTGCTTGGCTCAAGCAGCGAGCGTTGGAGTTCAGCACCGCAGACTCAGATTCTTAAGTACATTATATCATATACGGTAATAGTAGATACGAATACAACTTGCACTTATATTGCGCCTGTAGCGTCATGAAACATGACCGAGCGCAGTTGTTTTAGCCTCGGGGACCCCCTTGTCGGCAGCTCTCCCTTTGCGCCACAAGATGAACACAGCACCGGCCTGTAAGTGGGTCTGCCGGTAGGGGCGGATGTTGCTGTGTGCGTATTCCAAGCGAGCAATGTGAGAGTAACATCTAGTTTTTTTAAATACACATAATCCGAAAAATCTGAACCGCGACATCCGCTACATACATTGCCTACTCATTTTCGAATAACGTCACACGGGATCTTTACTGTCCAAACTGATGAAGCAGACGGCGCACATTTTCTGGTTAATACATCCGCGGTATTAAGCAGGGCGGCCGGGGACTTGAACCGCGAATATCTGCAACGAGCACCGAGCGCCCGACCGCTGGGCCGTGTCATTCGAGGAGCGGAATGTGCAGAGGCAGCAGTGGTAATTCAGGGCGGTGGTGGCTTGGAACGCGGCTTGTAATCCGGCACCGGAGGCGAGAGTTGGTGGATCACGCGCAGATGTTGTTGTAAAACCGCCTTCTCGTGGGTGTCGAGGAGGTGCCCGTACCCTGGCTCGCCAGGTGAAGACATTGCAGTAAGCGGACTGATCGCCACCTGTTTCCATCTGTACGGGGATAGGGTGTTGCCTACCTCGCGCGCGTGTTGGGTTTTCGTCGGGTGCTCTGGATTTCTCCCACGTGTGAAATGAACGCGACTAGTCATTAATTGGCTGTGCACTTCTTACGAATAAAAAAAACAAGTGCAAAACCCTCCTGAAAAAAAGAGTCATACGACCCGGTGTGGCTTTCCTGGACAATAACTCCAGCGAGTGTTAACGGGACAACGGCACGTGGACGATACAAGACAAAGCTTATTTGTTCTTTCGGTAAGTCACGTAGGTATAAAATCAAGATTGAAGACAAAGCTTATTATCTAACCCAGGTGAGAGGCCCTGGATACCAGCGCCATCCTGGGACAGGCCGACTCAAGGCGACTCGAGGTGGCCTGAGGTGGCCTGGGCGATCCCAGAAATCGTTGGTAAAAAAAATAAACGTCTCCACGATTTCCAAATAACTAGAAATATCACGCGGATTCGCGAGTTAAATATCAATACCGCGTTGCTGCTGGAGTTAAATGTTGTTTATTCAGAAGAGATGTATTGGTTTAGCTGTGAGTGGGAATGGAATCTCGGGTAGCAGGAGTTTGCGTATCGCGGTGCACTAACAGCTAACTACTACACTACCGACGCGCACAAAGACAAAAATCCCCCCTATAGCCTTAACAGACTGTAGGGGCAAGTGCTGTTAGCGTGCGCCTATGAAGGCCGGAAAAGTACATGAGGGGGTGAGTGGCCAGCACCACGCCCGCTTTTGTCTCCCTAGTGGCAATGTTGACACACCGCACCAGGTACTAGGGGAGGCCCGAGACCGGTTCAGATAATCGTCACTGGTGTTGGCCGTGAGCGGGAGTCGAACTCGGGTCGCCGGGTTCATAGCGCAGCGCGCTAACCGCTGCACCACCGCTCTCCACACACACCGGCATACACAACAGCCGCCGTTCGCCACCAAGTGGCGGTGACGTTACCACAGCACTTGTGCCAGGCTCGGTGCACTTTGAGGCCACGTGCAGTGTCGAAGGCTCGCTGACAGGAGGTCACGGGACAAACCCCGGTGCCATAGGTTGACTGACTGAGATGTATGGCAGATCCATCAGCTGTGCTGCCCACTGTGCCAACTCGCTGTGTTTAGCTGCTCCTTGCTGGGAGCGTCGCTCTTCTGCCCTCCGCTGTTGCTGGAGGGCGATTGCTTCAAGCTGCCCAGAAGCGTCCTTTACGAACCTCCTCCACAGATACCGATCTTGACATCACTGGTCCAATCAGCAGCCCTGGCACACACGCACACACGTCACGCGGCGTACATACACCATCGCACAACATTTCAACGCCTTCCTAAGAGGTGTTACTTTATCGGTCAGCACCTGCTTAATCAGCTCGGGTCACGTTGACCATCAATTACAAGAACGCACCAATTATTCACCCGGGACAGCGGTAATACATCTCGTACGGGAAGACATATGACCAGATTGGAAGGCACAGGAGCTAATAAGAAAACAGGACTGGATGGGAAGACGTGAGATCAGTAGATTCCATTGGCTACGTACGGTGCGAAAGTGGCTCAACGTACATACATAGACCCAGATGGGAAGACAAACTGGACAGAGACTTGGCACGATGGGATCTGATAACAACAATAACCGCACAGTAGGCGGAGAGAGATCAGGAGAGAGATCAGGAGAGATGGTGGGCAGCAGGGTGGCAGCGCAGTGACTACACCACTCGTGGCTCACAGCAAGAACCACCCCGGTTTGACTCCTGACTCGGGCGCCTTTTTATGCGCGG